GATGTATATGAAATTAGAGAGGACACAAGGAAACGCGGCTAGTATCTGTAACTGTTTATTCACCAATGACAAAACATCTATGTCCATTTACCCGCCACCCATAAAATAAATCTTTACCTACCTTACATTATAGATACATATTACCTTCTGATTGAAATATTAAAATGAGACGAAGACAGAAATTGTTTTGAATTCGCACATGTTTACAAGGAAAGTTTTTGAAACTTTCAATGTCGTTTTCATGTTATTTCGTTGTTTACGTAAACTGTAAGACTTGCTTTGGGCAAAATAAGTAATTAGATTTCAATTGTAGGAAACGTTGGTGGTTAATTACACTGGAATACTGATAAGCTATTTCAAAAGAGTTAATTGAGTTAGATTAAATTCGCGCCTTCAGTCGGTGCAACTGAGCTACGATATCTTTTCAAATTAACTTTCGCAATTTCAGTGGACCATCGAAATCAGTGGAGACATAAAAATGTAGATTTTTAGCGTTGGTCATATATATTAAAATAAATAACAGGTTCATAAGATTGGTTTTGTTTTGAATTAAAACAGAAAAGGTTGGAATTTAAAATTATGATAATTTTAATTTTTAAAATTAAAATTATCATACGTGCCAGTGTGAAATTGAGGCGCTCAAATTACACCCATTGGTGTAATTAGAATGCAATTCTATAGACTGCTCTCTTTTTCCCTATCATAAGTTCTGTATCATCTGTCACATTCACTTATATATTTCATATAATGTAAAGCTGAACATTTTTTAAACGTCGCTCAGTAAGGACATGCGTCATCTATATTATTAAACATCATTGTTTAGCAGTATCCTACTGAATGGATTTTAATGGAACTTTACATATTTTTTGGATTATGGATATGGATTTTTTTTACGTTCTATATTTTTTTTATGATTATTGGCAAGTAGCGTTAGACGTGTCTTTATTTATTGTCGCGGTTGTAACGACACGCTGTATATAAAACACTTTATTTACTATGACATCTTTATTGAAAACATTAAAAAAACCGGTCAAGTGCGAGTTGGACTCGCGAAAGTTCCGTACCGTTATTATATTATATATAAAAGGCAAATATATCATGTCTGTTGTATGGGAGCCCTCCTTAAATATTTTTTCATTCTGTTTTTTAGTACTAATTTTATAGCGGCAACAGAAATATATCATTTGTGAAAATTTCCACTATTAAACCATCACGTTTCATAATATGTCACCAGGACAGACGGACGGACGGACAGACAGACAGAGGTACTTAGTTTTACCCTAAAATCATCGTATTTGATTTTGTTTTGCCAAAAATATAAACTTTTGTCGGGAAGATCAATTGACACGTGATCAATTGACTTCATAGATCAAACAGAAACGCATTACTCGAAACTATAGTCAATTGAAACATCATTGCTGCAAACAGATGAATTATGAGCGGACGCGCCGCGGATTGTGATATCGGAGTTCTTTCAATTTCATTTCGCTTCTCTGCTGTCAAAGACTGAAATATTGCTTGGTGGGGCATTAGGAGTTATTCGAGCCAAATTGCTCCACCCTCTTAAAAAAAACAAACAATGCACATAAAAAACAAAAGATAAATCGTTGAAGTTGTTTATCGGTTGTAAAATGAAGATTATGAAATAGTCAAGAAAATATTCTCGTTATATTATATACCTTGTTATATAGAAATACGACGTAAATATTACACCAACGCACCGAAACGGAGGCATGCAAATTACACCAATTGGTGTAATTATATTACAATTTTCAAGACTGCTATGTCTTTGCGTATCGTACTTTCCATATCTGTCACATTCACATATATAATTATGTCATATAATGCAAAGCGGAAAAATTTTTAAACGTCGCACAGTATGAACATACGTCATGTTTACTAAAACATCATTGTTCTTCTAGCGAATTTGCTCCGCCCACATCTTATTCCCTTATTCATAGAATATATTTTGTGTTGGTTTTCATTTCAAGACATGTCTTGAAATGAAAACCAACACAAAATATATTCTATGGACAAAGTCGCGCCGAAGTTGTGCCAACTGCTACTTACGATGCCGAGTCTTATTTAAATTCATTTCTTATTTTCACTAGATCTTATTTAATTTGCCTTTAAAATGTCAATGCATTTTTGATATAATTATGCGCTAGTTGACTAATATTTACACGAACAGATTGAAACTTTGGCTACATAAAATCTCCATTCCCTTAAATACGTAAATACGCAATGGTTAAAACTAAGCATTCCCCAACCTAGAAAGTAATGTGTGCTGTACTTACTATTAATAAAGTGGGCCACGGCTACCTCACTCCCGAGGCGAAATTTCCTCTACATTTGTACCACTTCACATCGGGTCCGAAGCCGTGGTACCCCACCGGTCGGACCCGCCCATTCGTGCAACAGCGAAAACTGTTGCGACCACAGCTGAAACAAAGTTAAAAAAAGGTTTCTTTTGGGAAGCACGGTGTTAAGAACCTGTGCTTAATTATTTCTTTTATAAGGAACTGTTAGGGGGAAAGGAAAAAAATATATTTTACATTAATTATATTACTATCTATGTCTATGGCAAAACAATTTAAATGTAGAAAGATAATCAAGAGAAAAAACGAGAGGTACTCGTATCATGCTTCAATCGATTGAAAAGACGTTCTTTACGCCTTTTCGTGTCTTTTGTATTAAATAACTGTGATAACGAAACAAACAATAGTGCTTGAGAATAACTTAATAAAATATACAAAAAGTAAGTGAAGACAAGTTTATTAATATTTTAAATATTAATTTGTTATATATTATATATAATAATATACGAAACATGTAAAGACATTATTGGCATGCTTAAATGACAACTTATAATTTGCAATTGGTTTGAAAGGACTATAAATTTCTCAAGCAGTATCTAAATGCGAATCTGGCTTATGTTTATGTACGTATCTAACCACATTTCCTAAATCTGACACTTTATCGAATAAATATCCTATATTTTTCGCAACAGTTTTTGTGAATTTGCGTCTCCAATTATTTTCGGCATCTTATTTCAAATTCCCTGGCAAAGAAAAAAAAAACAATAAGGGTACGACAAACAGTATGCGGGACGTTTAATTTCATCGTTATGTCGTCGTATGAGTACGTGTTTTCTATATTTATGAGTTGTGAATAGACTTTTGTAGGGAGGAAATATTGCGTTATTTTGTTTTTGCACCTGTAGTGCCATATTTTCAAAATCAAAAAAAGAAGTATGTGAAGTCCACCAATACGCAGTGGGTACGTGTGTTCGTCTATACCCTGATACCGTCTGTACAGAAGAGGCCTTTACAGTGGGGTTTGTATAGGCTGTACTTTACTTTACTTTAACTTATTTAAATACATATATTTGTAAGGACAATTACCACTAAATCATTAAAGTAAAACAATTGTTGATAATAACGAACATGTCTAATAAAATATTTGTGTAAAGTATCATTATATAATTACAGGTTATTACAAATTTTATAGGTTATTAAAATTATTACAAATCAATTAAGTATACAGCCCTGTTAAATTGTGTGACGTGTGAACGATGAAGCTATTAAGTGTTTAAACGGTATCCCAATATGATTAGTCACCCCGAAATAACATAGTGCATTGCGACGTGGCCGAACCAAGTTGGCTTCATTCCAGCACACAAAATATATGAAACGACTCTTCGTTCAACCACATGAACCCTGATGTATACATATTTACAACGTAAATGATATCGTTGATAACTTTACGATTGTAATTTATTAAAGTGACGGTTTTTGTAATCCTTATGGAATGTAATATACGTGGGACGTAGCGTTTTGTAATTGATTTAACTTAATTTAAATCGTGGAACAAACTTCTACGGATTTAACCATAGGGGATTTTTAGAGACATCTATAGCGTAACGACATTTACACTTAGAGTTCATAACAATAGTTCCAAACGTGACAATATATCTTATAATAACACAATTCGTAAAAAAAATCATATCTGCGGCTATCATACATCTCAGCTATACATAAGCACGCAAGTCATCATAAAACTCCACTTCAGATAGCGAGTGTAGTGACTCAACCTCAATCTCGTCTGCACCTCTAAAAATGTATTAAAAATACTTAAATATTTAAAAACCAATATAACCATAACACTAAGATACTGCATAGCAGTATAAAAGTCAATAAAACTTACACCATGGCCGAAAAGCTTAATTTATAAGATACGCATTCAATAAGGTCAAAAATATCAAGGAACGCAATTAAGTGGGAGAGATCAGATATTATGAAAATACCCATCCAAATATATTTTCGCCCCTGTCAGATGTAGATTCATTATACAGAGAGAATTTTCCCACCTTATTGCAAGTGAAGTATTATTGGTTGGTCAAGTACCCTACTTGCGCAGTGAAATGATAAAGTTGTAAATTCTTACATTCTCAACTCTGGTTTCAACGGTTGTAAGACCCTGTTTATTTACAGTTTAAGAAGATCAAATGTGTTATTTATAAGGACAAAAAAAAAGAAAAAAAAAATGAGCAAATTTTAAGGAAACAATTATTAATTTTAGAGTCAGTGTCCGGTTTTTATTGTTTTTTTTTTGTGTATTTAAAGTAATAAAGTAAATTAAATTAGTCCGATTTCGTATCACCGTATCCCGTACCCACCAGCTCCAAATATAAAATCGCTTGAATACAGTCCACTCTGTTAGGTAAATACAAACGCCTCAAGTTCTTTTAAGAACCGTCATACACGCTTTTTTGAGAACCACCATACAGGTTCTTTTAAAAACCAAATGAATGAACGCCGCAGGCAGGCTTTTTGAGAGTCACAATTACCTGCTGTATACAGCGTCACCCGACATATAATCTGCTACATTTTTGTCCTCAAAGGAGCCTGATTGGCATTACCGAACGGGTCATGAGTCGTCAATGACGCTCTTGAGTAAAAACTTAAGATCTACAGTAAAAACAGGCTCTGCAAGGTCAAATGGTGACTCCGTGGCGCAGTCGTCAAGGTATTGGCTTCGGCGTCGGGGGTCGTGGGTTCGATTCCCACATGGGTCAACTATTTGTGTGACCCACAGACAGAGTCCGCGACCGTCAGGACAAGATCAGCCACCGCCGCCAACTTAACCACCGCCACCGAGATGCAGTCAGCACAGGGTCGTCTGCAACATCTGATGCACAAACGGCCTGTACAGGGGCGAATGGTTCAGCAACGCACGTCACCGCTACCGCAACCACTACCGCCTCAGGCACCGCAATCGCACCATCATCAGCACAGGCACGATAGTTGAAGCCAGTCAATATGTGGGACAATGTGTAGAGAAAGAGTGAGTTAAAGAAAAATTATAAAGATTTTATAATTTTTCTTTAACTCGACTTAAAAGACAACTACGATTAGCGACACTATCAAAAGAGACAAATGTCAGGTGAAACACACGTATTACCGTTCCGTCTACTAAAAGATTCAATACTTTGACTTTCGTCTTTTGTAGGACTATGGTTCTTCCCAGTGAAGCTGGAGTATTGATGCATCCGAAGTTATTATTTAAGCTGTTGGTACTCTGCACGGTAAAGTTGACTCACTTAGTTCATAGCTTAATAATCCCCTTTGTTCTTTAAATGTAAACTAGTAAAGTAAAGTAACAGCCTATACATGTCCCACTGCTGGGCAAAGGCTTCCTCTAAACAGAGGGTATCAGGGCATAGTCCACCACGCGGCCCCACTGCGGATTGGCGGACTTCACATATCTTCGAAATATATTTTTTTTATTACTATTTCGAAAATATGCAGGTTTCCTCATGATGTTTTCCTTCACCGCGGAGCACGTGATAAGTCAGCACTTAAAGTTAAAAACTTCATTGGTGCCGGCACCGGGGATCGAACTCAGGTTGCTCGAGTATATTGAATTAAAGGCGAGTGCCCGGACACTGAGCTATCACGGCTGTAATCACAAATGTAAACTAAATGTACTTAAAATGTATACGACGCCGACATCTTAAATAATTTTATTATAAGTAACCTTAATTGTTTGGGAAACTTTAATCTGATTAAAAAAATTGGCACAGGATTTTCCTGCACTTGCCTTAAAATTTTCAAATGGAATCTCAATCAGAGATTATTGTATTAAATTTGGTACACGTAGCAACTTTGGCTGCAAAATACTTAATCAAATCCAATTAAAAGTTATAATTGAGTTATGAACCGAATACATCCCAGAAAAATCTAACAGTTATTTTTTTAACTACAGATTTGTGCATAATTGTTTTAATTTTAATTCAACATAAAAGGAAAGAAAAACATAAAAAGAAGTTAATTCAATAATACATACAAGATTTATACATAAATCGCAATCACGTGCTTAGCGTTGAAGGAAAACATCGTGAAAAAAACATATTTCGAAGACATATTACAAGTTTGCCAATATGCAGTGACAAAAAAATTTAAAAAAAAGCTTAAAAACTCAAATAATTTAAGGCTATAGAACCTTATGTTAGAAACTTTAATTTTTATTTTCTTATTTTCTTTGAGAGATAGAAACGTTTCTTTCGACGTTTGAAGGTAGAAATTATTTTCGCAGATGAAATATATCGGATATTCAAAAGTTTAACGATTATGAAGTACCATCACTGGTGTTTTTCGGAAGTATTTATTGAATTTATTTTATTATAATTGAAATTACGTTTAAATATTCAAACAATATTTACAAAAAAGTTTCTAAGTACTGGAGCCTAACGAGACTCTACTAAAGTTTAAACATGTGAATTTTGTGCTATATATTTTCAAAAAATGTAAGGACAACTGCATGTTATTAAAACGGATAAAATGAAACAAATATTTTTTTTTTTATTTATATAATACAAGAACTATTTTATATTTGATCGTACTCCATCCGTATGAATCCGAATATTTTCCAGTTATAAGCTTTTAGAGATGATTGAAGTTATACTTCTTTTGGTGCGTTTGGAAAAAAAACATGTTATATGTCATATTAGCTACTGGCCTCGTCGCTTTTATATTTTATTGGAATCTCAGTCGCCATCCCACCTGATGAAAAATGAATCAAACTATAATTGATAAAACATTTTTTTTTCAAGAAAGTAAATAAGTTTATTATAAATACGTTTATACTTCTTTTGGTGCGTTTGGAAAAAAATATGAGAGCAAATTTTTAACGATGCGCGTGCACACCGATCCTAAAAAAGCGACATGATGAATCATGCTTGGTTCTCATACAACCAATAACAATTTCTTGACATTGACCATTAATTCCTAATTATTGAAATTAGCATTTATCAATTGCACTGCAATGATAAATGTTAATTCAATGCAATGTCTTTACGCTAAAGAATTATAACTTCTTATGTGCATACATAAGTACACACATACTTTTTTACGTATACATTTTCCAGGAGCTATTTTTATTTGTATACGTTTTTTTTATTGTATACAATATTTATTGATCTAATATTTACAAGATTAAATCTATCTAAAATTACATATTATCTAATAAACCTAATCCACGCGGCATGGTCCCAAGAACGCTACCTGCATTTCCTCGCTGAATAGTTATGCTTAACCTTTGAGCGAGAAAAGAACCAGCTCTCTTGTCACCAGCCGCGGCGTTAAGCCTGGGATATAAACTTTTAAAAAATTTTGATGTGCGGGGACCCCACGGACCCAATGTTACCTAATGTATACGTGTTAATGTATGTTCGCACGACATAAGTCAGCAAATAATGGCCCAATTTCCTAAAGATTACCTTATTATGAAGAAGTTGCTTTTTAGCTGACTCTTCTCTAGCTGAATTAAAAGAAAAACAATTATTAAATAGAAAAAAAAAACAGTCATTCATAGGTCTGCACGTCAGAAGTATAAACATATTCGTAAACATGATTTTTGTTTTGTTAAGGTATATTTTTAGGCAATATTTTATTATAAAATATTTTCATCGACCTAACATAATTTTGATTTAAAATTTTCTCTCATTTCATTCATTGCAATCAAAATAATGATTTTAATCTGTACACAAGAAATGCATATAAATTTTATGAAATTTATTCAATTAGATTTTCAACATTTTTTTCGTCAACTATATGTATCTAAGCGTGATGGTACACTGCTTTTTCCCCATTACAAAAGTGCTCAACGTGCCTAAAAAGCTTTGCACTTCAATAACGTAGCCTGCCGTTTGGTACAGCATAATAACGCAGTACGAAACTGCAGATCTATTCATTGCACGAGTTGAACTTGACTTGAATAATTTGGCAGAGAAAAGCCTAGCCGACTCAAAAATGTCATCCACTAATTGGAGTGGACCAAGCTTAAGCGTACATTTAAATATCGTAGAAATTTTAAGTAAGTACACAATTTTTAGGGTTTCGTACCCAAAGGGAAAATGGGACACTGTTACTAAGACTCCACTGTCTGTCTGTTTGTATGTCTGTATCACATGGACCGACATAGTTATACAGTTGAAATTTTCAGAGATGTATTTCTTTTGCCGCTATAACAAGAAATCCTAAAAAATAGAATAAAAAATATTTAAGCGGAGCTCCCATACAACAGACATGATATTTTTTGCTCTTTTTATAGATAATTGTACGGAACCCTCGGTACGCGAGTGCGACTCGCAAATGGCTTATAAGAAAAATCAAAATACGTTTAATTTAATTGCCCTTTCATAATACGAGTATACTAGCTAACACAAATTATCTACGGTATACAGTATACGGTATACCATGTTCGTTCGTTACCAAAATGTTGATGAATGTTTCATTTATGTTCGTGTGTTAAATAATATACCTAGATTTTTATATCAACTCCAAATGCGTGAGTTTACCGCTATAACTTTACCTCAGTCATAAAATTTACGACGTGACGCTAAAAATTATACTATCGACAATTGAGCTGCTATAATCTTGCTGATTAAGATATCACGAAATGACATTTTTATTAAATTTTCGCAATACGTTTACTCTTGAGCAGATAGCATTATCGTTGGACTCGTAAATTTTGTGTTATTCACTGAGTAACTAATTACTTTTCGTATGTTTGTGTGCTTAATTAACAAAAGCTTATCGCATAATTTGGTAAATTTAAAGAACAGGATATAAAAGTCTTAAAAGCCCGTCAACAATATTATTGCGATTATCTCTTAACTGTTATAAAGTTTAAATAAATTACTTAAACTGTTTATTTCTGAAGATTTTCCGAAAATTAACATGGCGTAGTTTCTTCCATTCGTTAGGTTTTTCTCTGCTAAGTATTAGCTCACAAGAAAAATACCATATTTGTTAAGGAAGTCGTACCTAATGTGTCGTTACCTAATTAGATTACCATGTCATATAAATGTATTGCAAGTTTTCCATGTGAGGTTAGTGACCAATTTGGTCACGTATTCTGCGAATGACTTTGCCGAAGTCACTAACAGCTACCAAATAAAACACAAACCAGTTACAGTTCAGAATTATTATATTTTCTTAATTTAAATTAATATTATTTACATTGAAAAAAAAAAAAAGGGAGGGCTACGATTACAAATCATTATTAATGAAAATAGACAAGACTGTTTTCTGATAAATGATGAAAGATTTTTGACTTATTATAGACAGTGTAATATCGAAAACAACTGTCAATTGACTTTAACGGTGAAAGCAAAGATAGTTTAGGGTTCATCAAGGTAACTCTAATGAGCTGTGATAGCTCATTTTCCGGGCGCTCACCTTTAATTCAATATACTCGAGCAACCTAAGTTCGATCCCCGGCGCTGGCACCAATGAAATTGTTAATTTTAAGTGCTAAATTATCACGTGCTCAGCGGCGAAGGAAAACATCGTAACCAAACCTGCAAGTTTTCGAAAAAATAACAAAAAAAATTGTAAGATATGAAGTCCGCCAATCCCCAGTGGGGCCGGGTGACTATGCCCTGATACCCTATGTACAGAGGAGGGCTTTGCCAAGCAGTGGGACATTTATAGACAGTTACTTTTCTTTACTTTACAAGGTAACTACGACCCTACAGTCAGAAATGGTGAACCTCTCACCGTACACAGGGTTTTTGCATTTCAGAAATTTGAACACATTAGTGCTAGACTCTGCGATCCGAAAGAGCGACCTTAAGATGTCAAATCTATACAAAAACAAAGCTATCTCAACTAGTAGTAAGTTTTTTTTTACTATAAAGCTCCGATTGTTATTTTCGATAGATTTCTGTTTTCATAGAAAATATTCTCTATAAGCTTTAAGGTGGGTTTTAGTGTTACGGTATAGGTCAATTTATGAAAAAATATTTACTTTATTTTAAATCATCATTCCGCTTCACAGTGTCTCAAAGTGTTTTACAATCGTGTGCAGATACAATTATGACGTTAACCAAGGTATCCTAGTGTGTGGCCTGGTGGTTAGTTAACTAGTTTTGATAAAATGTAAGTTATTATCTACTATGAAAGTAATTATTGGTATTATAAGGAGACGAAATGCCCATTTTGGACACAAAATAAAAGTCATGAATAGGAGTTCGAAGTAAATTGGGAAGGCCGTTGTCGAAGTGAAATTAATTTAAAATACGAATCTGTTGCTTATTCTTTAAAATACGATTTATTTACAAAGATACCTATTGATAAATTATGTAAGTAAGCAATAAATTTTGCATATTTTGTTAACATTTTTATGTTGAGGCTTTGTTAGGAGACAGCTCGCGTATTGATTCATTGTACTATAAATATTTAAAAACGTTTTCTTAAGTTAATCGAAACTTCTATGTTTTCAAAATAGGAAGCGGAATAGCAAACATGCCTTTAATTTTTAAGCCTGAGATTTAGAACTTAAAAAGTAATAATTAGCAAGTGTTTTCTAAAATAATTTTTGAAAAAGAATGAGGAACATAATTATTTTTAGAACACAAATTAAGAGTAGGTACCTACTTTTTACAATTAGTTTTAATTACAGCTAAATTTACAACGTCTAAGTTGTTTGTATATATATACATTTTGGATCGTCTTAGCGATTTAATCAACGAAACGCTCCATCGAGGGGTAAGTAGAAACTCTCAGTGCTGACATCCTTGGAGCCTAACGTCTTCTCTGCACGCTTAAGTCCGTTCTCACTTTCGCAGCACTTGGGGAATGGTGCCGTATTATCCGCTTTGAACACTAGGCACTTGCTGTAGTTCTCCTTGGTGCGCTCCCGGTTAGTGCTGGCCGTCTTCCGTGGGCCTTTGTCCCTTCCTCAGAGCTTCGAGGAGCCGTTGTTCAGTAGCCGGACGCTGCTGTCCCTTCCCACGCTGGTCCTGTTGATTAATAACCATTTTTATACTAACGAATAACAAAACCGACTTCAAATATCTCGCTCTGTTTTCATTTTATAATTGATTTTCAAGAGTTCCCTAAGTATCTTCGGAGCCAAAGGTCAAATAGCAATGAATTTAATATGGGACTACATGGGAAGGACTAGCTTTCAAATAAAAAAAAGAATCATCAAAATCGGTTAATTCAGTCAATAGTTATGAAGTAACAAATATAAAAAAATGCATACGAATTGAGAACTTCCTCCTTTTGAAGTCGGTTAAAAAGCATTTCAAGTACAATTTCTAATCTTCTTGTATTTTACAGACGCTTGCCTTCTTATTGTTTATTTAATTATGTATCTATTTATTTATTTTATTTATCTGCTGTTTTAATTACCTCAAAACAGAGATTACGAACTTTACTGTTCATAAGTTTGACTTAATAATGTTTAACAATATTAATGACTTAATAATGTTTCTCGACGTTCTCTCTTAGCAAGAGCGTTTTGATATAATCTTTTCGGTAGATGCTAAATACGATTGAAATATTCATATTTTGTAAATAATCCACGTACTACTTGTGTCGATACATATTTAGAACTATGAATGTGAATCCTGAGATGTAAATCAATAAATCTTATGTACAATAGAGGAGAAAACACAACGTAATACACAGAATCAAACTACTCGCTATAATAGCCTTAACTCGTAACGTATCTACTGCAACAAGATAACTTGTATAAGTATAGCAACGAACATTGTTTATTTAACGTCATTTTTATTTTTAAAACGGATTATAATAATATTTTAAAAACTTGATTATTTTGAGAAATTTGTGTTTGATTTTTTTCTGTTTTACAAAATTCCTACTAAGAAGGAACAGAAAACGTTTGTAGTTTTTTGAAAATATTTAAATAAGAATGATTTTTTCAAACAAACAATTTTGCAAAGTCGTAAGTAAAGTTTAGAGACATTTTAGGTATTTATTATTTTTTTCACTCATTCTGGTACTCATACTAAAGTAAAAAAAATTTAACTACTAAATAAACAAACAAGCTAATATTCTTTAACTGTGTAAATATTTACTGAATACATGTTTTGAGATGTAAGAAAAACCGCGATAAAAGTACAACTCCGACCGAAATGGACTCGCCCCCTCTTTTAAAAACATTTGAAGAACGCTATTATAAAAGAAAAAAACAAAATATTCGCCAAGCTGTCAACAGAGCATGTCTGTGAAGTATCATGCAATACTTACGTCCGTGGCACCATGCTTATGTTTGTTTTTCGACTGGAGTATAATCTTCTAGAAGTTGAGAGGGATAAAGACCCTCTTGGACCCTGCACTGACGCAGAGCGACATAGCAGATACCTATTGGATGGATAATATTGCGTCATCATACTTTATTAAAAAAAAAGCTAGCATTAAAATTAACACGTACTTAAAACTATTCTTCTAGGTTGTTATAAAAAACGAAATTCATAATAATTTGGGCAAGTTACCAAAAGTGGTTGAAACGGATCAGAAGAGGAGATAAAAATAAAAATTCAAAGAATTATTCAAATATGCATCCTGTTGACTTTTGACATTTTTTTACTTTAGTTAGATGAATAATTGGTTTTTAAGCTTTTTTTTTAATAAAACATTGCCCTCACTTTAGGATAACATTATCCTGTGTTGTAAGGACGTTTTACAAACATAAATTGCACGAGGACAAACACCCAGATGCGAAAAAACTATCTGTGGGTCGCACAAATAGTCGTTCCGTGTGGGAATCGAACCCACGACCCCTGACGCCCAAGCCAATACCTTGGCAACATACATAAAATAGACTGCAAAATCAAAACCTAAAAAAATGTAATGATTAACAAATACTCTACAGTTATGATGACGATGATCAAATTCATCCATGTTTGTAGAGTTGTTATTATTTGTAGAAAAAGTACGAAAAAATTGACGCCGCAGTGGGAATCGAACCCACGTCTTCGGCGTTCGCGGACTTACGCTTTAGCCACTAAACGGCTGATTGCACAATCATTGAATATTACATTTTTATTGAGTGACTTGAACACTACTTTCTTTTTCGTCCATCCAAACGTTGCTGCCTGGAAGAAATTACATCAGTTCTAGATTAAGTTTTTCATGTTTGTTTATTTTTTGGTATGCAATAAAGTATACTTATTCATTTAAAACTCTCTGTCATCATCTCTTCAGCATCAAACATGTCGATTCAATTTGCACCGAATAATTTTTTGTACAGTTAGTTTGAATGTTTAATTAGAGTATTTGTAAAGCTTACCCAAATAGTACATTATTAATAGCTTGCCTAATGAGCTTACCTGTTGAAATGCTTTCGAAAGATACCACTTGTGCAGTACAGTGCGATTGGATTTACGCAGCTGTTGAGGAAAGACAGGCAGAAGCCTACTATACGAAGCGCGTGCCACCAGCCATTGTAGTCATCTTGAGCTGTAGGGCTGTATGCGTAGAAAATATGAATTGAAGACTTTTTATAGTAAATAACTACTTTTTTAAGGGTTGGCAACGTATAAAACTCCCTAGTTTTTCAGTAGTTATTTGGCGACTCTAATAACTTAACAAAATATCAGCTGATCTGCCATTTCATGTAGGAGGAGTGGCTAGCGCTGTTGACTAAGGATTTGACCAGCCTAAAGACTTTTTCTTCAAAGATGGTTATTGTATTAGAAAAAAAACGTCTTAGACCTCCGACTTCATATTTCATATTTTGGTAATGATTACGTATAAAAACATTAACCTGAGTTTTATGCGTAAATCTGGTGGTGGATGCTTATCATCATCATTATTTGGCCTTATACTGTTAACATAGCCTTGGTACTGTGGTAGGGCCACGCAACATTTTTCGCAATTACACGAATGAGTCTCTATACAATTTTGTATAGATACCAGACCTCTTCTTATCTGACATGTTTTTGACCTTAATGCACTTCCACAGTTATAATTAGTCTAACCTTTAAACCCCCAAACCAAAGTACCACCACTCCAAAACACTGGTAGTGTTTCAGCAGTAATTATTACTTAAATAGTTGAATCAGCAAGACTGAGAGCTCGTCGTGCTGTTTTGACAATTGCAACTATAAAATACCGTTCATTCACTAGGAGGGAGAAAATGTGCTGGATGTTAGGTAATTTTGAGATTAAAAATAATATTGCAGAATATTAAGGTATTTCGTCAAACAAGAAACTGGAACGAACGATTATTTAGGCAGATTGTCGATTGCAGATTGTAGATTGTCAATTCCTGGAGATATATCTATAAGTGTAATGTTGCTTCGTGGCTTTGAGTACAAAAAATAAAATATGTTTCACCGATATCACATTATATATATTTCATATCGTTTATACTTACCAATAATAGAACCACATCATAAACACGTGAGAAGGTAGAAAGCACGCCGCGAAAACTAACACGAATGCCAAAACAGTTACGGCTACTTTTCTTCTCGCTCGCATCTGAAATTTAGGCATGGGAATCATGACTTCAAATAACGTTTGCACTGAGTTTTACATAGACAATCAATTAGTTCTGTGATGGGTAGTCATAAACAGAAATGTACAAAACCCTCAAATATTTTTTTATTTACGTTATAAACCAAGAACATCTTCTCAATTTAATTAAAATTTAAAAGTAAATAAAGCTTAACATTAACGTTTTTTATATTTGTATGTATAAATCGTATAACAAACAGAATTTAAAAAAGTTTCATAGTAATTATAAAAGTTAAATTAATATTTACCGAGTTACATTACTACTGTACCTGTCTTTGAGTTCCCTGCATCTCGCCTGGCATGTTCTGTGTACTGAGCACTAGATGTCTCGCCATCAGCACATAGAATAGGGCAATAACGGCCAGTGGCAGCGAATAATATACCAGGAATCGAACCAGAACCATCGTCCTTGGGTAATTTTCCCCCCATTCCGGCGGGTATGGGTAGCAGACTAGAAACTGCAAATGATTATTAGAAATTATCAATTTTCTTATTGTTCAACATATAAACACCGTAAATTTTCGATAACTTTCCCAAGCGGTAGGTACTGTGGTTTATATAATTGGATATCCAAAGGTCGGATTCTGTGGTGAGAAGGCTTATATGTAACAGCTTATTCATGACTTTTTTTTATTTTTGAAGGTCTTGAGGTCGGAAAACTTCCCTCTATCCATGTGTGCAACACCAACGCCTGCTGCTTGGCTCTGCAACAGTAGCTGATGCTAATGGTCAAATTTAATCCTCATTTTCAACATTGCATTACAGTTGTAGATGTAGTACGTAACTTATAATAAGTATTTAGGTCAATTTTACCGTCACTTTTTGAATGACTTTGCTAAAACAATTTTTATTGAAATTTTTATTGACAACTTGCATTTGAATATAGATCACGAATTTGGAGGAGAAACGTACCAAAATTGAATTAAGTTAAAAGAGCCCTTGTTCACTATGTAATCACAGACATCGGGTCTTGGACTCAACTCAATTATCCGCAGGGACAAAGGTCGGCTAATCTCATTTGATCCGACAGAACTAGTTAATCCGGCCACATGTGTAAAATTATTTGTCATTCACGCCACATCTTGTTGGAATTGACGATTTTCGCACACGTTCAAATAAAAGGGTGTGTTCGTATAGTTTTGGGTTTGATCAGTGTTATGCTGACATTTTTATTGCGATAATTTTATAAATGAAATGATGCCAGCTTATGTTTTTCTCGACGTATTCATCAACTGTTACTAAGGAATTACATTTTGGTGTGAATACGTCAGACTTTGAAACGATTACCTATATGCGCTGTAACATTTTATTATTAGTCTCATTGCAAAGTTATAGGTATATTTATCCGCTTTATACAAGTTCAGTCACACAACATTAAAAATAAACAATTAAAGGTTATATGAGTTTACAGCAGATTATTTTACAATTAACAGAATGAGAAACCTGGAAGACTAATTACATCCCTTGCTTGAGTAACAGTTCTCATAAATAAAATCTTTGGCGGGGAAATTATGAAATCCCACCCTGGCTTGTCACTCAGGAATAATGTGATAAACAATCTCATGATTTCTCGGCGTTTTCGTCGATTGTAATCAATGGATTATTTTTTTGGTGTAAAACGATAAACTATTCCGTGACGACTTTGTAACGTTATCGAAACGTAAGGTATAGCGGTAAATAGTTTTTTTATAAAGCCCAGTGTAGCATCCATTATCCACACCCACCCCAAAACACTATGGAGAGTTTGTGAGAAAATACTCTTTATTGCATTTACTTGAGAGAATAAGAATATGCCAAGTCACTATCGGAACGATTGCTTTTTTTAAACTTTATGTAAATAACAAACTTTTGTAGTGTTATATATTAAAGTCAAATTCAAAATTCCTTTATTCAATATAGACTCTTATTGAACGTCAAAAAAAATACAAGCCATTCATTAAATTAGACCTGACCAGAGAAGAACAGGCAAGAAACTTTGTGATTATCAAGTATGCAAAATTATTTATGTGTAAAATCAGCAGCAGTCAGGGATCTTGCAAGAGCAGAGTATGAGACACCCTTGCTGTCAAAGCATTCTTCGACATTATAATAGGCCCTCGTCCTTAGGGTAGCTTTTACAAAATGTTTGAAATTGTAGACCCTCACGCCCGGATTCTGAAAGACTGATCAACGTATAAATTAACTAAACAGTTGTCAAATGGCATGTTCAATGTCAAATGAGTTGCCAAATGGATGGTTGTCTTGTCTATCAAATCCATTTCAAAAGAATTTTATTTGCAATCCAAGTGTTTAACCATACTTTTGGCAACTCAATTGATATTGAACAAGCCATTTGACCACTGATTAGTTACTTTTTACTTTGATCAGTCTTTGAGAAACCGGTCGTTAGGTGCTTGTGGATGTCACCTATTTTATTATAAAAGTTAATAGATACATCTACCAAGAAAGGACTTTCTGGTTTTAGCATCGGTAGTCTTAACCTCGGTACTTCCAGGTGTCAACGTGTTTTATATAAATATTAATTCCACGGCAGCTGTACTGCTATGTAATTGTTTCTTCATTCTATGTAATTCCCGGTAACGTTTTAATGTATTATAAGAAAGACAAATGAATAAATACAAAATTTATTGTTCAATAAAACTTAATCTATAATAAATTTCATGGGTAAGGTACCCTTATATGTATGAAGATGTTAGAAGTCCCACGACCTGCATTACAGATCTCACATCATCAGTTACGACAGTAAATCTTATTCGTTTTAGAAGTTGTAACTGTTCATTTTTAACGTCATTCTCGGATATGCGAGTAAAGACACTAGCAGTATCAACTAGATAGGAATTGATAAAAACGCTGTGTATTTGAGACATATGTATGTCGATCATGAATAAAATTAAAAAGTCGTCACAGTTATTGGTAAAGTAGCACTTGTGTAGTCAATGCAATCCTGAAATCTAAATTTACCTGAGTGGTGGGATTGACTACAAAAGCTCGCAAGTAGGATCCAATATACGCGGGCGTAGCGAGGAGTCCTGCCAATATCCAAATGCCAATGGCGGTTGCCACCGTAAGCCGTGTAGCACGCTTGCTGCCGCCTGTCAAACGTTTATTCATAAATATATTTTAATAAATAAACATATTTAATATCACCATGCACACAGAAAGAATATTTATTAGGTTTGGTTCCTAAAGGATTTTTCGTATAGATATTTTATTTGTTTCTGTAAAGAAACGACGAACATAATTATCATTATTGTAGTCTATCTATTAGTGCCATCTCAACATAATTGGAACACTGATGGTAGCTTTGGTTAATTACGATTTCCTGCCATTAACAATTTAAGACTTTTATATCTTGAAATGTAGAAAGTTTACACGAGGGAAAGTTTACAAGAGGAAATTCATTAATTTTTTGAAGTAATAACATAATTGTAATTACAATTATGTTATTATAATCAAAATTAAATCAAAATTTTTTATATGACTAATTATATTTTTATTATTAAAATGATATAAATAATTATTTATATTTATATCAAGATAATTTATCTTATTCTGTTCGCTCTTGAGATAAAAGAGTCAAATGAGGTTATTTGATTTATATAAAATAATTATTTTAAATATGATTTTTGATATTTTATTCTATATAGAAATAAGACGGTATGAAAGTTTTTAAACAAGAAAAAGAACCAGCATTAAAAAACTCAATTAGCACTAGCAGTTTAAAAAATAATATAAGTCTTGTAAATCTAACCTGTATAATCTAAACCATCTAACCTCTAACAAATTTTAACAATTTTTGGAGTCACGTGACCATGAACTATTTAAAGGGTTCGTCATAAAAATAAACGCGATAAATCCGTAAAAATAGTCATTTATAAACTGTTTATTCTTTTATTTTTAGTTATTTAATTTTAATGCGTAGTTATTATTAAATATGGGTAGACCTAGTAAAGATGCTGCTCGACGAGAAAACGGTGTCAAACTGAAACCGGGACACAAAAAAGGAAAAAAATTAAAAACAAATAAGGAAAGAAGACCCTTAAGCATTTCAAATGAGAGGCTTGACCAGTGCGATAATAGACTGTTAAAGAAGGTCCTAGGCTACAAAGATTATCAACTGAGTTTGCGAATTGACTACGGCTCAACTTGAATTGCCTTGCAAAAGTCAAGGAATACTGTTGATAGAGATTTTGCCGATGGAGTTGCAGTTTGAAATTAAATCCCACTGTCAGACAAGTTGTAAGCATATATACAATGCACAATATTAGCTGAGAACGCGGAAACAGCGTATAATTTGTGAAAATACGCTGCTTTCTTTTTCGCGTTGTTGCATACATAAAAACCCGAATTGATAACTTCATCCCTTTATAAAATAGGTTAAAAATACGAATAAAACGGTTCGACTAAAGTGGCCAGTACCCAAACAAGTGGGCAATAACGATGAAGAAGGTTGTACCTTAAAGAGTAGAAAAAGGTTAATAAAGGTTAGCTTTGTGTCATATAAGTATCATAGTTTTAAGGTTTGGTATGATTATATTATTTCTTGTGTTTAATTTCTATTTCAATTGAAATAGTTATACGAATAACCTGAAAGTCGTGTTTTCTGAATTTCTGATAGTTTTATCTTAATTTAGAATTTTAATACACATGATAAAGATCGAAATCTTTATCATGTGTATTAAAATTCCATAAGCACATATTAAAATTCCAAGTAGCACCTATAGTAATAATAGGGTTATGACACAATATTCTGTTAACAATGAAAATGACTGACATTTGCATGTAGCGCGATGGGTGTATAAAAATTCCGTAAGAGTATTTAGATAGTTGTATACTCACTTTATACATATCACATAGTTGAACTAAATCATAAAATTTTGCGTTTCAAGTTATGAAATCAATTGATGAAAGAAACCCAGCGTGAGAGCGCTCTACAAAAAACATATTTTAGGTTTTAAATAGGATGAGGAGAAACAATAAAATGTCTGTTATAGGTTTCTATTAAACTATGAGAATCTTTTGGCTACTTACGAAACGGTAAAAGCCGTAAGGGTTCTATGTGCCTATCAACAGTAAAGAAATTCAAAGCTCTAGCAATTGACCGCCGTGTTTATGACAAATAACGTAACATTAAAATAAATACCAAGCTGTCACTTCATATTGCTACATTGAATCCATTGTATTCCCGTTTTTATACGTACTCAGTGTGTTATCGTAAACCAGACGAAGTCACGATTGCTTCAATTTACTGCCAGCTGAACTATCGCGCCTGTTCCGCCGGTGTGGTTTACAGCGTAGTAAACGCCGATGGAATAACAACGCCAGTTTTAAAAAAAGAATATATAGAACAGAATTTTATCGGGTGTTTCTTTACTGCATCTACCCTTCGTGGTGAATTTGTATCACGCTGTTTTTGATTGAGTCGTTGTTACATTTCCAATTGCTTTTTACAGGTCACAAAATGCACTATCCATAAAAATAATTAAAATCCATAAAAATAATTAAATTTATTCTCTTAATGGGTGTGTATCAATAATTGACGCTAGTCATATTAATTATACTCTCTAATAACAAAGTTTCATATCATTTATAACTCTATGACTAAAGAGGTGAAAATCCTTTCCTTAAAAGGTCATCGTCATAATAATTTTATCTCAACTAGGTGGGTCGGTATCATGTGAATCGTGTTGGTAGTTTTAATAGACAAGCTTTTTACAACCCGACTTCAATTATTCTAGAGTGTTAGTTCCTTAGAGGAGTGAATCAATTACCCGTGGGTAACACAAAGCTTGTCTTGTATGGGAGTCGAACCCAAAACCCCCAATGCCGAATAACTTACCAACTGCGCCACGAGTTATAATCATTTCTTAAAGAGGTGAAAATGAAAAATCTCTCTGGTATTTTATTTCCTGTATATTCATTCGAAATCTAGTTATAACGGTTTTCATTCTCATGTGTCTATTTCAATCACACAAGAGGCTTGTTTGGCGAAACTATTGCCAAATATCATTGTTTAGGTGTATTATTTGATGTTCACGCGAAAGACGTCAAAACAGCAATGGTGCTGATTCAAATTTACGTCCCTTATCCGAAATACATCAACTTGGCACAGATTTACACTTGGCACGGGTTCCAGATGCATCATGTGGATGGATTCATAACTGAATGCATAAATACCTTAAGACAATAAGTCATATATCAGCTGGCACTAAAAATTGTTGATTATTATTTTTACATTATATTTACAGCACGTGGATTTCCAGGTATTTTAAACTTTACTAACAATATTTGTCATATTGACGTATTGAATACGAGACAAATCTGTTTTGTAAGTGGATTTTTCCGATTCACTAACGGAAAAGTTTTGCAGTGAAACAGAAAGAGCATCGACTCGATGCGGTATTTCGTAGTAAAATTTTATAGATTGCAATTAATTCAATCTGCTCATTACAAAGCGGAAATCTACAACTGTAATTTTAACATTTATCTTTTTGAGATGTGAAACATGGTGTATTTTTCTAAGAGATTACGATCAGTTACGAAATGAGCATGTAAGGTGGGAAATCGTTGGATCAAAAGTGATATCCATCATCAATGGTCATCAACACAGGGTTTCTGTGTGTGCTTCCGGCCCTTAAAATGGTTACTCTGAACCATTATTGTCATTAGCTTGTTAAAAATGAGAATTAATGTTACCTTATTTGAAAGGTATGGCACAAAAGACATCACTTGTGAATATTGCCACATAAAATAAAGTGCACATGCACTCAGCATTGTTATTGTACTTTTCACAGGTGTGGTCGAAATTCAAAGATATGTTTCTATTAAATATTACATGCTGTTTAAATCAAATAAACAACATGGTATTAACACGATACATTGGTGGCGAAATTCAAAAATAGGTTGCTGTTAAACATTTCATGCTGTTTAAATCAAATAAACGACAATGGTATCGGCTTGATTTCTCAATCTGCGGTGTTTACGGAAATAGATTGTGTATCAACCGGAGGCAACGGCGCTAACATCGTGAACAACTCCAACATTCTAAATGTTGATCGCACGCCAAACAAAACGGCACCGTTGACGGTGCTCTGTTCATCGAAAGTTTTATATTTATCTTGCCCGACGGAAGACAACACTTATCGATTGGATGTTTGCTCGTGGAGTTGGGCGCGGACATCTGGTACGGCTGCTCGGCGAGTAAGTTTATTTCTGGATTTATTGCAATAACAAGGCGGCCATTGTTAGTAAGATGCTTAGTGTTCTTTTCAATCCGATGTAATAATGATCTATGAAGTAAATTTATGACTAAAATGTTAAGATCATAAATTATTTACTTTTTTAACACTAGGCAGCCTTGGACCGTATCTATCAATTTCACATCAAACCTACTTCATAATACATTTTATATTTTATTTACAAAGACTATATAGGTATTACGAGTTATACTACAAATATTGGAATGTCTTCATGATGCACACCTGTAAATATCGGCTTGTGAAAACTCTGCTAGATTTCATAGAATACTGTAGTTTATTTCGTTCGTTGTTTAGTTAACCATAGCGCAATTGCTAAGCAATTAGCTTGGGCGCCAGAGATCGTGTGTTTAACTCTCACATGGGAGAAGTGCGTGACGCACACTTTATCTGAATCTGGGTGTTTGTTCTAAAAGAGGGTTGACGTCAGGCGGCCAGTGGTAAAAAACCTAGTCGACAATCAGTGTTGACCTCACTCAGGTAGAAAGGAAAATATATTCTTGAATTTTCATCATATTCTTTGATGGAGCGATAGATGGATCTTCTCATCATATATATACATTTTTTCATGTGAAAAGTTGCCAAGCGAGCAGACGGTTCACCTGATGTTAAGTGAATACCGCCGCCCATGAACATCTACTACACCCGAGGGTCTTAATATTCATCCGAGGTTTTTTAACGCATCTTGAATGCGTTAAAAAACCTTTTGAAAATTGAAATAGATTCATATTTGGTTATATTCTAATACATATTGTCTTTTACATCTGGTATTAATAAGAGGTTTTGTTTAAGTGACTTATTCAAATTATCCTATTAACAGACCTTAAGTCTTCAGAGTGACTGTTTGAAACAATGAGCTAACAAACAGCAGCAAATCCGAAGAGTTACAATGCCTCTAGCTCCCTGAGGTGACATCGCATTTAGCTTTCATGATATTTCAAGGAATATTACGTCAGTTTGTTATAAATAACAAAAACTTGCAAAATCTTTTATTCGAAAAGGACAAAAAAAGATAAGAAATATAAGCAAATAAATCAAAGTAATCTATTTTAAATCTCTTCGTTCGAACAAATTGTAGACGAGGCGAGAGTCGTTTTTATAGAACGTCTTACTAATAATTATCTTTGTTAATTGGAACTTGTTCGATAAGGGAACAAATTAAAACACTATTTGCGTGTTTGTATATTTGTAATAAGGTTTAACAATATATGTGTTAAATGAACGCTTCTAATACTGGTGAAAATTTAATGGCAAGACAAAATGAAGACAAAGTCAAAAATGGAACAATGAAGAAAAAGTAATTGATAGGTTCGATTTATATAGGCCACAAAAAAGGTTATCTTATGAAAAACGGATCGAACAGAACTGGTATTTTTCTTTTACAAGGTTAGGTTTTCATTAGATTAAACTTACCTGTGGCATGGAGTTTTCTGAGGGGGTCAACGATAGCGAAGTAACGGTCGGCCGACAGGGCGGTCAATGTGAAGACGGATACTCCGATGCTGACATCTTTGGCGGCTTCTGACACTTTACACACGGTGGAGCCCCATGGCCACGACTCCAGCGTGTAAACAATCGAGGTGAACGGCACACAGGTGATGATGACAAGGAGATCCGCGAGGGCCAGCGATAAAATGTATCTGAGGTCAAAACAGGAGTGAGATTCAGAGATGTGCAAAAATTGATGCACGTTAATACTTATTAAGGTATTTAAGATGTGCGTGAGTGTAGGACTTATGCACACACATCTTAAATACCTCTAATTTTAGTACGTGATAAAACTAGTTTGTTTCTTAACATTTTCAGATATTTAAAGCTTTTAAATATAGTATCAGTATATTGTTTATTTACATTTAATAATTCCTCCACTCCGTTTAGCACCGTTTTGGCCCAAATAGAAATGACTATTTTCTACAAAATAAAGAATTGTATCTTTTAGAACGAAACATCTTTCAACATAAAAAATGTAACATAAAAAAAAACTCGCCGGATGTACTGCGTTGCAAGTGAATGAAGCGATTCATCACAACGCGCGGCTGTCGATTAGGGAAAATCCATTATAACGTAGCGGGACCAGATAGATTGCCGGTGTCTAGAATGTATCAGACCTGAAAAACAGAGTAGATTTGCGGCCACATCTGAAATACGTGATGCGGCTTTCGTTCTATTACGTGGCATGTTTGTATTGATATGGTGTGTGTATTTTATTTCGAAGATTGGCCGACTTCATATAAGTCGGCCAATCCGCAGTGGGTGGCGTGTCAAACTAATTAAAGGAATATAATTCTCACTGCCCATAATATATAAAATATGTTGACTTGTATGACTTTGTATATTAATATATTTAGTTAGTATGTTAGTATGTATTACGATCGTATGCCCACCTGCTAGCTTGGTAAGTGGGCCAATTTCCAGGTATCAGGTAATCACGTATCAACATTACTAACCTTACGTAAACTCACCAAGCTGATTTTTAAGTATATTTTGGACTACATCGTTAAAAACAAGTCGTCAATACTCCCAGACACTTTCCGTCGATCGTATTGGTTTGCAGTTGATCGAAATAATTGCTCAACTTCACGTAAATTTTGTATTTTTTTAACTGTTAATAATGAATTTAACGGTAGAACGAGAGCCACGCAGCAGCCTCGGCTGTTGCACGAATGGGCAGGCTCGTCCAGGTAAGTACCACGACCTCACAGAAGACCGGTTTAAAGAACGGTTTAAGAAGTATGACAAATACTTTCGCGTTTCGTCTGGTGTGTGAGGTAGCCGGAGCCCAATTTCCAAAAAGGTTGTCAACGCATCTGCAAACCCTCGGGTGTAGCAGATGTCTATGGGCGGCGGTATTCTCTTAACATTAGGTGAACTATTTGCTCGTTTGGCAACTTTTCACATAAAAAAAAAAGAATTGATTGATCAATAAGTTCATACTTTCGGAGCTCAACATCAAAACGCGACTGTCCACAATCTGCGAACAAAGGTTCCTAAGTTACTTTGGCCACATAATGAGAAGAGGAGACAAAAGCTCGGAAAGGTTGATCGTTGTTGGAAATACTGAAGGCAAAAGATGACGGGGCCGATCCCCAGCACGATGGACTGAACAGCTCAAGGACACAGAACCGTCTCGCGATGGACCGAAATCCATGGGAGATGTCATTCGTGCTCAAACGACGACTAGAACTACGATCATCAGACATGATGGACACGACCAGAAAGAAAAAATGAATTGACATGAATAAACTGTAAAAGAGAGAGAAAGAGAGAGAGGTCTGTAAACGAATACGGCCGACGGAAAGTGTCTGGGAGCATTTTCGACTTATTTGTAACTATATAATCTAAAATATACTTAAAAACCAGCTTGGCGAATTTACGTGATGTAAGTAATATATTTTTATGTATCTTGATTACGTAATACCTTGAGATACACCCACTGACCAAGCTAGCAGGTAGGCATGCGATCGTAGTACATAATAACACTTCTCACTTATACACATTTCGTTCGTCAGATAATACCTACGTGACGTCTGGCGGCCCTGGGATTTTGGACTATAAGTATAACGAATTAATCACTCGACCCCAATTAAGTCATTTGAAATGTTAATACCATTAAGTAAGTGGAATGTATGAAAAGCTAATGTTTACTTTGTCGAATGTCAAAAACACAAGCCACCCTACGTTATGAAACTGTCAATCTTCCTTGGTACTTTTCCGATACATTTTTCCCCCTGTTTCGGTAGCTTTCGCACAAAATTGGTATGTCTTTGGTCGTTATGAAAGCTAATTACAATTATTACAAATACTGCTTTACGGATTTTATCGCTTTTAGTTTTCATCATCATCATCATATCAGCCTGTTTGAGTCCACTGCTGAACATAACCCTCTCCCACAGACTAAATTAAAGAATTAAAGTTAATTAAAAAACTTTTGCTCGAAACAATATTTTGCAAGTTACTAATCTAACTCTGAGTTGCTGTTGGTTATTACATCACAAATATCAGGTGTTTATGTCCTTTTTTGGCCATAAACGCTTCAAATGTTTGTAATGTCATTAAAAAAATCTACCTAAAACGCGATAAAATTCATAAGTATATGTATATAAACTTCATCTATCTTTTGTTTATTAGATTTCTAAGGAACATTTACGGAGAAAAGTAACATAGCTATTATAGAACAGGGCTAAATTTAGGCAAAAATTATCGACTGTGGTCTATTAGTGAATCTCCGCATATAGAAACTTAATACAAAATTAATTTTGATTTGGAATAATGGAAAAGATAGTAAGGGTTTGAGAGTCACACAAATAAATAAGACTTTTTCTATTAAGAGACAGAACAGCAGCACGAATAAGAACGAATATTAGTTATAATTAAGACAGAGGGATTGCTCTCTCTTGCAGTTGCGCAGTATTGTTAAAAAGGTGTTTTGCTAGGATTTGTTTTGTTTCTGTTAATTTACCTTTGCTTATATCTCGTATTATTACGACTACTATAACATGGAAAATATTCTATATTCCAGAGACGTTTACTTACATATTTATTACATAGATGCACTCAGACGCAGAGCAGTTATCTGATCATAGACATGACTTGCTCTGGAAAAGAACTCTTAAGTTGCAACCATTAAAAATCATTTCCAACTTACGTGTTTGGTACATTCCTCATGGCCTTGTGTCTGATGAAGACTGCCACTAAAGTGCCGTTACCCACTACGCCAATGACGAAAATGAGTGCGAAGATCAGAGGAACTATGTATGTCTCGGGCCTTTCATAGTACGGTTGGTATGGCTCAGAGGCGTTAAACTCCAGAGTTTCATTATAATCTTCCATGTTGCATTATTATCTGGAACAAGGCAGAAGAATGAATGTAGTTTATACTTATCTGCGTGTGTCAAGAACTAACCAATTTGAAGTAAAAAACAAATAAAATCTTTTGTATCAGACGAGATTTATTACTGTGGCTAAAAAGGCTGAAGGCATATTCCCAAAAAGATTTTTGTGCACTATTTAGTCTCACGAACATGGTTAGTGATAAATTGAATCCATGAAAAATAATTTTATGTTATATGAAATATTTTTACAGGTTTTATTATCAAGTTTTATTTTTAATTCTCAACATTTCGAAGTCTTTAAAATACTATAATTTTATTGGTCAATCTCTTAATATCATAATTATCCCTTCTAACGCTATTTTAAACAATTAATCATGTATACAGTCACGGTAATTTTGTAAATAAAATTATTTTATATAAAATAATTACTAAGACCATTATGACCTCGTATTTTATGTAATCTGTCAAGTGTCTTTCAAAGCCACATTCCTTAGAACTAGTGAAACCATATATGTTTGTACACCGTCACAACAAGATATTAGGCGCTAGCCCCCTCGTTATATGATGGAAACTATTAAGAGGAAATACATTGATGACTCTATGACGCAGTTGACAACGTATTGGCTTCGGCGTCGGGGGTCGTGGGTTCGATTCCCACACGGGACAACTATTTGTGCGACCCGCATATAGTTGTTTCGCATCTAGGTGTTTGTGCACGTAAAATTATTTTTTGTAAAACGAGGATAACATTTTTCCTGTGTTGTAACACAGGAAAAATGTTATCCTAAAGTAAGGGCGATGTTTTTTTTAAAGAAAAAAAAAAAACATTGTGTGCCAGTTTTGCAGACCGGCCTGTAATGTGCTTGTACAACATAGGAGATAAAGGTCCCCTAGTAGGTTCCCACCTATTACTAAGACTCCGCTGTCTGTCTGACCGTCTGTCACCAGGCTGTGTCTCATGTCACGATAGTTACACAGTTGAAATTTGCACAGATGATTTTTGTTGCCGCTATGACAAAAAATACTAAAAAAATGAATAAATATTCAAGTGGGGCTCCCATACAACAGACATGATTTTTTTTTGCGTTTTTATACATTATGGGTACGGAACCTTTCGTGCGCGAGTCCAACCATGGATATAACTTGGCCGGATTTTTTTGTTATGTGAGAAGAAACGAGGATCACCTGATGTTAAGTCATATCCATCGCCTATGAACATTTGCAACATCCGTAGGATTGCAGATGCGTTTCCACCTTTCAATGAAGTGAGATCCGGTTACCTTATTCACCAGATGAAACGGGGAAGTATAACACTTCCATTTCACGCCAGTTTTCCGTGAGGTCCTTACCAAGAGGAGGACAGGGTACCTCTCGATATATCTCTTTTAAATCTTACGAATGGCATTTCATTAAATCAACGAGAATATTAGCAAAGGACTACAATGCTCGATGTATTATCCTCAATTCTACTACAAACAAAATATATAGTTTTCGGGAGAAAGTTCCATCTAAATAATGTACTCGTTGATTAAGTAAACTGAAATTGGGAATAATACGATTTCGCAATTTCGGGGCCTGAAACCTAAGAATCATATCTGCTATACGAAAGTTATATTTGTTAAGTTGTACGTAGCTGTTTTTATAGAATAAAAGTGCTCTAAAAAGTTTAGCAATATTTAAATATAGCTTAAGCAGATTTCACTATCCATACACCATGCTCATCTATGGATAGTGGAGTCTGTAGTGCTATCTAAATTGTTAAAAATTAATTAATTAACTAGAAACAGTTTATGGCCCATACTTATGTGCAAGAACACAAAAGTTAATTCTAGAGGCTTCAAAATGCTTGCATTTTTTATCATATCACCACAAAGTTACATAATGCCTTTTCAAAATGAACATAACATTTTAAAAATGAAACGCCGCATAAAACTACATTTGGCATGTCTTCCTTTTAGAGTTTTGGGATTGTACGCACCTAAATATTAGTAGAAAAATAGAATGAAGAAGAACATTGAAAAAGGCACGCGTTTCAATCAAATCGTTTATTCATTGAAGTAAGAAATATACATTTCATCTAATTTAATATAAAGTCAATTTCGGTGAAGGAAAACGTCGTGAGGAAACCTGCATATTTTCGAAATAATGAAATAGAAATATTACGAAGATATGTGAAGTCCGGCAATCCGCAGGGGGGCCGCGTGGTGGATACCCTGCCCTAATACTCTCTGTACAGAGCAGGCCTTTGTCCAGCAGTGGGACATGCACAGGTCGTTACTTTACTTATTCATTTTATGGGTGGAGTCGCAGATATAATACTTATATCTAAATTGAACGTTTATTGCATTTCTAACCAGATTTACGCTCACGATTGTCGCACAATCATCTACTCATCAAGTGGGGTTTTATTAGGAATTTTACGATAGCCCCGCCCCTTGATATAAATACCAACCTTTGTGTGCGGCGATGATAACGCCATAAAAGAACAATATTAGCCTCTTACACGAGGGTCATAATGAGATTATTCCCTCCTTTAACGCACCTTTTGCCTGCGAATTGAAATCCCTATAGGCGTCAAAAGATTATCGGGTGTGAACATGTGCCTATAACATAAATATTATATTATATTACGATTGCTTTATAAAAGTGCATGTTATCACCTAATAGAAAAATGTGTAAGTTCTTCTCTGATCTTAATCTGATATTACATTAATGAAGTACGCGTTGTCTGTTATTAGTTATAAAACTCCCATTAATGATAGGAATAACCTGAATTTTAAGAACATTTCGAATATATAAATTGCACATTGGACTACCTGGATTGAGATTTACCCTCGTTATTTTTACTGACTGTTATTAGCGGTAAAGAAAATTAAATGTTCGTCTACAAAGGAGCCTTGCCTTACAGGTAACATAGACATTTGGGCTGTTCCTTCACTACTTCTTAGGTCAAATTAATTACTCGATCTGCTAAGAGCCGTATTCACGTATCCTGGTACCGCCACTGATGACGTCTCTACTGTGCCAACTATGTCTACCACAACAAAACTAGAAATAGAGGTTTAGTTATTTGAGTGCAAGTTATGCCTTACAATGTTAATGTGCAAAGTAGATGATTTAGCTCTGTATACGTGTTTGTGTTCATTGTTTTCGTGTCACTCGTCTTTTCAAGATGTTTGTTCCACACGGAAGCTGTTACGTTTTGGCGTTTGTTAATACATTCTTAGGGAGAATAATAAATTAAGTTAATGTTACTCCTCGCGTCCTTTGTCTCACTGCAGCCATTAAAGCTTTTTATAAGTACTGAAATGTTAAAACTTTGCCATAAAATCGCGATAAAATAAAGCCTATTAGAAGAGTTTAATGTAGATTACATTACTTGGCGAGCACAAATTAGTTTAGATTTGTAAGTGTTCAATAAGTACTTGAAAACATTTCACACCTTAAGGATTATTAGCATCAGAAGATCGTGAAAAATGTATTAAATAGGAAATTTGATTTTCATACGGTACGCTACAGCAAATTTATTTTTCGTTTATCAATTAAAAACAAGATGCTTTTTAGGTTATCACACGCAAAGGGAAAAAAAAAATAGTCACAAAGAATGAACGCGTTATAAAACAGTCACAATTTACTTCTTAAGATATAATAGGAGAGTTATCTCACACATACAAATAATCCCCTCACGAGTTACCCAAAAAACCTTGGTTTTTTTTAAATCCAGAAAGACAGATATAATTCAAAAAGTTTCATTTAATATATTTGTGGCTTTTGCTAACCTCGTGTCTGCAATTTAATTGGCTCGAGTAAACACTGTCATTAAGTAGTTAATTGAATCGGAGGATTCTAACGACCTCATAAAAGCTAACTGCCTGTGTAAAACCATATCAAAATTACTCATTAAACACTTTACAGTGATCGTTTATCGGCGTAAATAAACATCTTATTAGGAACGGAAGCAATGCACCGCAAAAACCACAGCAGAACAGCGAAAATCGTAAAATGACGCACAATATTATAAATTTGGCTGGAAATTTTATTCCATCTAGTGGTTGCACAGTGCTGATCGTAAGCTAGTAAAAGTTGTTTACAGTAAATCGATTTCTGAAAACTTGAAGATTACAAATAAGATCAAGCGTGGAAATTCGAATACAATTTTTTTTTATCACACATCTTATTGAGTTCCAATTTAATTATTACAATAAATATATAATAATATACAATAAATATATAATATTAATATACACCTTGAAATTTGAGTTAGAGCTATGTAAAATATTCTATACTAGCTTTTCGAACGCTGTTCCGCCCGCGTTGATTTCGTTAAATAAATATATTTTTTTAAATAAAAATAATCCTATATCCTTCAAATAAAAATTATTTGAAGGATTTAGGATTATTTATATTTATTCTTATTAAAATTGTAATACATATTAACTTTCTAGTTCCTATCTGAAATATTTCAAAAATCAAAAACAACGGAGAATTTGTATACAACAAAAAAATAATCAGGCGTTCAAAACATTTCCAGCAACACAATGCTAAATGTACTTTGATGTTATTTATGTGCTTCGCGTAACACCGTATCTTCGCAACATTGTAGGAAATGTTGCTTTATAACGAAGCCGAGGGAAACCAGACGCAGGTTGATTCCATTCAAATGTCTAGATCGCTGTTTGCCGTTTTGTAAAGTTTTATTGCCGTGTTTAAATTCCTCTAGTAATTCTTACATGTGTGTGAACAGCTTTTATAAATACGACGTCTGAAATATTTCGTAGTAGAGAATTTTAAAACGATTTTTTTTATTGCCGCCTAGGAATATTTCAAAGGTACATGCCGTTTTACCAAAATAATTTTAATATTTGTATCGTATTTAATATAAACTACAAGAACATGCAGTGTGTAACTAACAACTACATATAGATTAGAATCCTTCACTGTACGAACATATCTAGATTAATATCTATATTTATGAATCTTATGTGTAATTAACGAAAA